AAAGAGGGAAGACACAAAACTAAAGCCAACAGATTTGCCCATAACTGCTCAAATCTCCAAAGGCCATCCCATTCGACTCAGCGGAAAAACCAAGCCAAACAAAGCGAACAATTCATTACAAACCTTTCCAGGCTCTTAAACTCCCCAACGGAGAAAATAGCATTGGGTAAAGGTTTAAACTTGGTTGCCACCCCGGCTAAACCGAACCGCCTCTCACTTCTTCATGATATCCACAAATATCAAAGACGAATGAGAATTACACTTCTTATGCATAACAAAGTTATGAAACAAAGGCCTTTCAAACTTCCGTACACCTGGTATCCCCAAACTAGAAAAATAAACTTTCCCCGAAACTCACTCCTGGCAAGCATCGATGTTGTCTCCACGTACACCAACATCCACCGGGTGCAAACCATTGAATCGGTATGCAAAGCCTACAACAGGACAAATTTCGGCTACGCCATAACCAAACCCCCATCCAACTACGTCTGCACTCTCCTAGACCTTGTTCTAGGCTGCAACTATCTTCAGTTTGGAGGTAAATTCTTCAGACAGAAAATCGGATGTGCAATGGGATCAGTCTCAAGCCCAGACATTTGCGACGTAGCTTAAATGAATTTGAGTCGGAAATCTCAGCCCCCATGGACAAAATCCTTTTCTGGGCTAGATTCAGAGACGACATCCTCATCGTCTACAATGGCCAACTCGATTCTTTCACCCAATTCGTTCACCACATGAATCAACTGCACCCCACCCTCAAATTCACTTTTGAGGCATCCGAAACTTCCATTACCTACCAAGACCTTTCAATTTTCAAAGGTCCGCGTTTCATCTCAAACGGTACCCTGGATACGAAAGTATTCACAAAACCAAGGGAAACATTCCAATACCTGGAAAGAACCTCATCCCATCCACAACACGTTATTCCACGGCTTCATCAAAGGAGAAATCCTAAGATATGCTAGAAACACTAATAGTGGGAATAAGTTTCTACAAAAAACACAAAGTTTCGCAGAAAAACATTTGAAACGAGGCTATGATCAAGCCGAGATTCAAAGATCGATGCAGTCCATTGATTTCCGGCAACGGGAATCTATGATTCACAATGAGAGAAAAGTGAAAAACAAAAAAGAACTCCCACTCGTCTTCACCACTATGCACAATCCTCATGTGAAACACAAAGACATCATAAGAGCTCTTCTTAAACACTGGCACCTCATCTCTGGCAACCCAACATTAAAGGAAGTTTTCCCCAAACCTCCTTTAGTTGCCTACAAGGTAGCTAAAAATATCAAGAAAAACATTGTCAGAGCCAAACTCAGCCACACGGAGGACTATCGGTCCGCCACACATGAGAAATCTGATAACGCTCTAGATATTCTCATTTCACTTTTGAATGAGCAAACCCATTCAAACTAATTGTGCACAAATATCATGATCAGAGGAAATGTAATCACTTTTTCCGTCAGTGAGTGCCATTCCACTCACTAACCATACCTTTACACCCCGATTCATATTTGAATCAACCGGCTGATGAGTCCCCAAAGGGACGAAAATGCATTCCCGCTACTTTCTCAGGTACAACCCAACCCACAGCTTGGCTAAACATGGTTTTGATCGGTCTACACAAGTTTAATTTTTATCATTTCTACCCACCGAGGCTCCATTTTAGTCTCCACGTAGAAATAAATCACACAGTGACACACCCTCAAATAAATGTGTTTTTTTTCGAAAGCACCCAAACTTTATTCGTTTGGATTATATATCTATAAGACCGAGCGTCTCTGAGTGGGATAGGGCCATCATTTATTATCCTTGTCATGTTTGTACTCCTTGCACCTTTAGGGAGTATTGTGGGTTGATGGTGAAACAAGAATCTGCCCGAGAATACCAGCCGATTAGCGGAAGCGGTATCTTCAGGTTTGCTCTCTCCCA